AAACTAAACGAAAAATGGATGAAGTATTGGCCTCAGTATAACGAAGTTAGCATCGACGAATCAATGATTCCGTACTACGGCCATCATAGTACAAAACAGCACATTCATGGAAAACCCATTCGTTTCGGATTCAAGTGCTGGTGCATGTCTACACGGCTGGGATATCTTATACAAGCCATACCTTATCAAGGGGCTAGCACAGGCAACACTAATCTCGATTTAGGTGTTGGAGGATCTGTCGTTATGAACTTGGTGGCCAAATTGCCTACAGATTTCCCATTTCATGTTTACATAGACAATTTTTTTACATCGTTTAGATTGCTCATCGCTTTGATGGATTTTGGTCACCAGGGGACAGGAACAATACGGTCCAATAGGGTCGAAAATGCGCCCTTGGAATCAATCGCTGACATCAAGAAAAAACAGCGTGGGAGCTATGATCAAATCATCGATGAAACATCAGGCGTGTCTCTAGTGCGATACAACGACAATAACGTTGTTACCGTAGCTTCTACCTGTGAAGGTGTTTCTCCAGTTGGATCCGCACAGCGATGGTCAAGTGCTGAAAGAAAAAAAAATCTCGATTCAACAGCCCTTTTGTGTTCAAATGTATAATCAATATATGGGAGGAGTAGATCGTCTAGATCAAAACATAGGCTGCTACCGCATTAGCATAAAAAAAAATGGTATTGGCAACTTCTGATGTGGCCCTTGAACGCTTCAATGAATAACGCTTTTCAGTTGTACAGGCTCTCACCAGCTGGGCAAGAGAAGGAGCATCTTGGTTTCCTAGCCTTTATCAGGTCTGTGGTTACAACTTATCTACGAAAATATGCGTCGGCTCGCTCTTTAGGCCGTCCTATGAAGCAATCTAGGAAAAGGAGAGTGCCAGACGATATACGTCTAGATGGGAATCAGGCGAAGAAACAGATGCGACTGGCGGCTCCGAGGTGGAGCGTAAGGCCAGATTCGTAAAGGCGGTGGAGGCCGCGATCAAGGTCGTGGCCAACAAGCAAAAGTCCTCCTCGAAATTCAAGGCCATTCCAGCGGCCTCCGCCTCCATCATGGCGGCTGCGGAGGCCAACTTTGCTGGGGCTGGGCCTAATGCAGACGAGGTGGCGAAGCTGCGGGCGGACGTGGCCCGCCTGACGTCCGCCATGGAGACTCTCCAGAAGGAGAATGAGAAGCTCCGCGCAGACCTGGCCAGTCTACATGAGCCTGCCTCTCGCGCGGCGCCCCAGACGCAGCGCCCAAGCCAGCCCGTGCCGGTGGAGAACCAGGTTCTGAACCTGGTCCGGCAGGAGCTGGCTGCCTTCCAGCACCGGTTCTCCGTGCTGGAGGGCATCGTCCTGCGCCCCCCCCCCCTAGGGGCAAACAAGACGGCGGCGAGGCCGGCAACGGCCTCTTACGCGACGGCCACGGCTGCCGCATCCAGGCCGGGGCCGTCCAGCCAGCCCTCGGGTTGTAATGTCGGAATATCACACTAAATTGAGTAACGCTTTGTTAAATAGCTTACAGATGCTACCAATGTGTCAAGAGATAGTTACTTGTTTGAAGGATGCCAAAACACCTGGACAAGTGGCTGGGATACTAAAGGAGTTAGGAGATATTCTATTAATGACAACTGCTAGATCCACACAAAAATTATACTTCCCCTTGTTGTTATTGAGATACATGTGGCAGATTAAATCGGATGGCTTCAAATGGAGTTTTTCAGGCACTGCAATGATACAATTTTATTCAGTCTTGGCTCAGCAATCAATTACATTCAAGATAAGGTCAGGAGCGGATCCCCTTAAAACATCTGAGGTTGTTTTTCATGCAATGTTTGGCACTTATCTGGAAGACTTGAGTGTACTTTCCCAAATAACATCTGCGCCTAAATGGCATCAAAGAAAAGATTTGAATTCAGTTTTTCATAAGAGAGCTTCACAACCTGGAGTAATTTTCAAGGGAATTTATTTTAAATATGTGTCAAAAAAGGGCACTACAGGGTGGGGCTACAGTTGCCCCTCCCCCCCCCTGAAAAGCCGGCTCCGGCAAAACCGATACCGGCTGAACCGGCTCCGGCTAAGCCGGCGACGGGAAAGAGAGGCAAGGCGAAGGCGAAAAAGGGCAAGGCGGCAGCACAGGTGATGGCTGCGCCAGCCCCAGTGCCTGCGGCGAATGGGCCAGCGCCAGCGGCAAGCCAGCTGCCGCCGCCGTCACCGCCCCCCCAGCTCCCTACACCTCCCGCGGCAGAAGCCGGTTGGCAGGTGGTCGGGGACAAACAGAAGGGGAAGAAGGCAGCCAAAAAGGCCAAAGAGCAGGAGCGGCAGCGCCAGTTCAGGGCGCGCAAGATCGCAGCTAGGCTCCGCGCCCCGAAGACCGCAGCTGTAGTGATTACACTACAGCCGGACGCGGAAAAGAAGGGCGTTACGTTAAGATAATGGAGAAACATTATTAAATGTTAGTGTTCTTTTCGTTAAAACGATCAAAATAATAAAGAATATGACTTGTAAAACATTACCAATGTTTTGCGAGATCTCCTATCTTCTTCACAAGCAAGTGCAAGAGAAAAATTGAGAATATTTTCAAGAGAAAAACGAAACCTATTCGTTGTTAGGATTGCATCAAAACACATAATATTAGCAGTACAGAGACAAACATTCACTCTTACATTAAATTTAGAGAGTATAAATTGCTAAAAAAAATAATTTGGCATACACTAACGAAAAATTTCTTATCTTGTACAGGGATGGTACTCACTTTATTCATAACTATTGGAATTATAGCTGTATTGGAAGTAATATAAAAAGTCATTTGAAAAGAAAATATTGAGCACTTTGAGTTTTTCCTGGCTGGGGTGTGATAAGCGTGCCTTAATTGTCAAAAACTTTTTCATTAATATTTTAGTTACATTACATGGACACAATTGTTGCAACATAAATAAAAAAATATTGAAGGGTGATATTGACGAAAAATATGTGTCTAAAATGGATGGACCGAAAAATTGGTCTTAAAGAAAGTATAAAAGTTTTAGGTTAAGAAAAACATGTTTACGTAAACAAAATGTTGATGAAGTGACGACCTGGATATGCAGGTGGCTTAGGACCGTGCTTTATGGCATTTTTTGGGGGAGGCCTACGTTCAGCAGTGGACTTGTGAAGCGCTTCCGCAAATCAAGTTACTCCCTAAAAATGTCTGGTCTGTAGCAAGCTAACGGGTGGCCCAAATAAGACCAGCTGATGTGAAACACAAATAACTTTTTTATTTTTTAAGGGTTTGTAGATAAAGCTGGAGAGAGAAAACTGAAATATTATGATCACGCTTTAGTTTTGCTCTCCATGGAGTGTAGCATTGTATTTCTGTGAAGGCACAGTATTAGCAACAGAGCTGCAATGCATTTTAAAAGAGATTGTGTCCCAAGTAATACTAACTGGGTTAATACCTTTAGGTCTTGTTTGTGATCAAGGGTCCACACTTCGAACAGCAATAAGAAGACTTAGGGAAGATACAATTCGTAGGCGGAATATTCAAGGTGTTCATGATGGTGTGTACCATTCTTAATCACTTAAAAACTAGTTGTACTTCATAACAAATATTATTTATTTTAATTATTTTACTGATGGATCAGTTAATATTGCTGATCACTATTTAAGCATATTTTTGACCCACCTCATCTCTTAAAGGGTTTAAGGAATAATTTTTAAATAAAGATATAATTTGGAAGGAAAAAATGCCTCTTGGAAAGATGTTGAGTTAATTTGTTGAGGATTCTTGGACACACTGTTTGACAGCGTCAATGGCTACCCGAGTTGTGTGCAAAGAGGAAAGTTAAGACTAACAGTTAAACAAAATTCACAACATCACACTTTTTGGATTGAACCTATTAATAAAATAAAAAATACGAATTTTGTAGACACCAGTAGCAAACATGGTACAAAAGCAGGAAAACCTCGACTTGTGCGAGTGGCATCCCAACAAGGATGGATTAAAACTCTTGAAAGTTTTATAAGGGTCTCCAAATTATTATTTGGATAGTAATGTAGAATATTATTATCCGAGGAATTTTAACCAAGACCCATTAGAAAATTTTTTGGACGTATAGGAGCTATAAATTGTAGAAATGTTAATCCAGATGCAAACACATTTATACAACGTGTCCCAAAATTCAACGATAAGCCAACACCGGAGGATAGACCTGCCCCGGACTAATCGGGTAAAAAAAGAAAAAACAATATATCCCAATTATATTTTAAGTTATATAAAAAAAATTAAATTCTTCAGAAATTGAGACCGTTTATGATATTTTTCACTACCATGACCACAATTTTTTAAATATTTTTTTCTTTTTTTTTTATAGGCAACCTGAATAGTACTGCTATCTACCACAATTCTTAAAAACTCCAGAATAACTCTTGTTTTATCACGAAAATTAATGAAACTTATTTTATTCCCTAAATTTTTTGAAGACTTTTACTTTTAACCAAATTTAACTTATCGTGGTGTAAAAAAAAAGTATGAACACTAGTATGGCAATTTTTTTAAAAATTGACGCAACTAACCAATATTCCAAAATGGTATAATACTCTAGGAAAACAAGTTATAAAAAAATATGGGCCTATTATTTCTTAACAGGGGCCAAATTCCTTAAATTGTAATTGTCAGTAATCACTTTTACTACATGCCCAAAATGGGTTCCTGTTACAATTTCTAGGAATTCGAATGGGGCATTAATACCTTAGATGTTAGAGAGAGATAGATAGATAGAGATATTTACGTTAAAAAGAGACAACAACAGGGCAGGCAGAGAAGCTGTTATTATTCTCAGCAAGTCGGTTCAGTACGCTCTGCTCCTTTGTTTACTGCGCACCGTACCCAATTCAACTTACGTGGCCCTCGTACATACTATCGACTTTTGGCTTGGCTTTTTGGACTGGAATCGACCTGCAAACTTAACTGACCTGGCATTATTTGGACTGGAAGTGATCTGCAAACTGAACTGACCTGGCATTATCTTGGACTACGATTGTGTGTTTTGTGATTTAGAGTTCTGGCGCATTTTGGACTGTTTGGCGTTTAACATGCCGCAACCGAACACACCACAGGAATACGCTAATATGCATTTAATCTATGGAGAATGCCGATGTAATGCTAACGCTGCTAGCAGACTGTATCCAGAAAGATACCCAAATGCTCAAAGATATCCTGATTATCGAGTGTTTATTAATGTGCATCAAGCGTTTTCGGAGGGTCGTATGCCATCCAATAGGAGCAGCGCTGGAAGACCTAGATTGGATCGTGATGAAGAAGTTCTCAAGGAGATAGAAAATGACTCGACTACTTCGGTACGTGCCATAGAAGAAGCTACAGGAATCCCGAAAAGTTCTGCACATCGAATATTAAAACGTCACAAGCTTCACCCATATCACTACAGGCGTGTGCAGACGTTATTACCGCGGGACTATCCGCTACGGGTCACATTTTGCCGTGTAATGCTGCAAAGGCACAGTGAAGATCCCCACTTCCTAGACAAAATTCTATGGTCGGATGAAACAACGTGCAAGAAAGATGGGTATTTAAATCTTCACAATCTACATAGTTGGAGTAATGAAAATCCACACTTGATGAGACAAGACAAATCCCAATATCAATTCAAGGTTAACCTATGGACCGGCATATTAAATGGAAAAGTAATTGGGCCCTTTGAGTTACAAGGAAACTTAGATGGCAATAGTTATTTAAACTTTTTACAAAATGACTTGCAAGAATTGTTAAACGACGTGCCCTTAAGTGATCTTCAAAACATGTGGTTCCAAAATGATGGTTGCCCAGCACATTATGCCCGTCCTGTGCGAGAATATTTAAATCAAGAGTATCCAGGGCGTTGGATCGGGCGACTTGGTCCTATCTTATGGCCACCCCGTTCACCCGATTTGAACCCCCTGGACTTCTTCTATTGGGGTTGTCTTAAAAACAGGGTCTACTCAAAACCCATTGTGACATTGGACGAGCTTCGTCGAAATATCACTCAGGCTGCTGATTACATTAATAGCAGAAGATATGCAAGACAAATAAAACGATCATTTTTAAGGCGATGTCGTGCATGTATTAATGCTGGTGGCAAACAGTTCGAACATTTGCTATAATGTTAATAACTTAATAAATTACACGTGAAACTGTTTGTACCATTTGTTTTGAAATATTAAACATTTTTCAAGAAATAATACTTTTATTACACCCGACCGTCATTTGGCCCCTGTTAAGAAATAATAGGCCCATATTTTTTTATAACTTGTTTTCCTAGAGTATTATACCATTTTGGAATATTGGTTAGTTGCGTCAATTTTTAAAAAAACTTGCCATACTAGTGTTCATACTTTTTTTTTACACCACGATAAGTTAAATTTGGTTAAAAGTAAGTCTTCAAAAAATTTAGGGAATAAAATAAGTTTTATTAATTTGCGTGATAAAACAAGAGTTATTCTGGAGTTTTTAAGAATTGTGGTAGATAGCAGTACTATACAGGTTGCCTATAAAAAAAAAGAAAAAAATATTTAAAAAATTGTGGTCATGGTAGTGAAAAATATCATAAACGGTCTCAATTTCTGAAGAATTTCATTTTTTTTATATAACTTAAAATATAATTGGGATATATTTTTTTTTCTTTTTTTACCCGATTAGTCCGGGGCAGGTCTATCCTCCGGTGTTGGCTTATCGTTAAATTTTGGGACACGTTGTATATGCCTTTAAATCTTTGATATTATCTAACATGCTTAGTCCACAGTCCAAAGTCTCTAATTGTGAAGAGGATAATGGAGAAACATTATTAAATGTTAGTGTTCTTTTCGTTAAAACGATCAAAATAATAAAGAATATGACTCGTAAAACATTACCAATGTTTTGCGAGATCTCCTATCTTCTTCACAAGCAAGTGCAAGAGAAAAATTGAGAATATTTTCAAGAGAAAAACGAAACCTATTCGTTGTTAGGATTGCATCAAAACATATAATATTAGCAGTACAGAGACAAACATTCACTCTTACATTAAATTTAGAGAGTATAAATTGCTACAAAAAATAATTTGGCATACACTAACGAAAAATTTCTTATCTTGTACAGGGATGGTACTCACTTTATTCATAACTATTGGAATTATAGCTGTATTGGAAGTAATATAAAAAGTCATTTGAAAAGAAAATATTGAGCACTGAGTTTTTCCTGGCTGGGGTGTGATAAGCGTGCCTTAATTGTCAAAAACTTTTTCATCAATATTTTAATTACATTACATGGACACAATTGGTGCAACATAAATAATAAAATATTGAAGAGTGATATTGACGAAAAATATGTGTCTAAAATGGATGGACCCAAAAATTGGTCTTAAAGAAAATATAAAAGTTTTAGGTTAAGAAAAACATGTTTAAGTAAACAAAATGTTGATGAAGTGACGACCTGGATATGCAGGTGGCTTAGGACCGCGCTTTGTGGCATTTTTTGGGGGAGGCCTACGTTCAGCAGTGGACTTGTGAAGCGCTTCCGCAAATCAAGTTACTCCCTAAAAATGTCTGGTCTGTAGCAAGCTAACGGGTGGCCCAAATAAGACCAGCTGATGTGAAACACAAATAACTTTTTTATTTTTTAAGGGTTTGTAGATAAAGCTGGAGAGAGAAAACTGAAATATTATGATCACGCTTTAGTTTTGCTCTCCATGGAGTGTAGCATTGTATTTCTGTGAAGGCACAGTATTAGCAACAGAGCTGCAATGCATTTTAAAAGAGATTGTGTCCCAAGTAGCAACAGAGCTGCAATGCATTTTAAAAGAGATTGTGTCCCAAGTAATATTAACTGGGTTAATACCTTTAGGTCTTGTTTGTGATCAAGGGTCCACACTTCGAACAGCAATAAGAAAACTTAGGGAAGATACAATTCGTAGGCGGAATATTTAAGGTGTTCATGATGGTGTGTACCATTCTTAATCATTTAAAAACTAGTTGTACTTCATAACAAATATTATTTATTTTAATTATTTTACTGATGGATCAGTTAATATTGCTGATCACGATTTAAGCATATTTTTGACCCACCTCATCTCTTAAAGGGTTTAAGGAATAATTTTTAAATAAAGATATAATTTGGAAGGAAAAAATGCCTCTTGGAAAGATGTTGAGTTAATTTGTTGAGGATTCTTGGACACACTGTTTGACAGCGTCAATGGCTACCCGAGTGGTGTGCAAAGGGGAAAGTTAAGACTTACAGTTAAACAAAATTCACAACATCACACTTTTTGGATTGAAGCTATTAATAAAATAAAAAATACGAATTTTGTAGTTATAGGTATGTTACCAAAGAAGAAATTCGCCTCGTCTTAGCAATACTTTTGCTAAGTGGATATAACGTTCAAGCAAGGAACCGCATGTACTGGGATACTGGAATCGATACCTATCACCCTGGCGTAGCTAATTCAATATCTCGATCTCGATTTGAACAAATACTTCGATTTATGCATGTTTCTGATAACGCAGCTTTAGATGTCCAGGACAAGTTCACAAAAGTGCGACCTTTATGGGAGAAACTAAACGAAAAATGGATGAAGTATTGGCCTCAGTATAACGAAGTTAGCATCGACGAATCAATGATTCCGTACTACGGCCATCATAGTACAAAACAGCACATTCATGGAAAACCCATTCGTTTCGGATTCAAGTGCTGGTGCATGTCTACACGGCTGGGATATCTTATACAAGCCATACCTTATCAAGGGGCTAGCACAGGCAACACTAATCTCGATTTAGGTGTTGGAGGATCTGTCGTTATGAACTTGGTGGCCAAATTGCCTACAGATTTCCCATTTCATGTTTACATAGACAATTTTTTTACATCGTTTAGATTGCTCATCGCTTTGATGGATTTTGGTCACCAGGGGACAGGAACAATACGGTCCAATAGGGTCGAAAATGCGCCCTTGGAATCAATCGCTGACATCAAGAAAAAACAGCGTGGGAGCTATGATCAAATCATCGATGAAACATCAGGCGTGTCTCTAGTGCGATACAACGACAATAACGTTGTTACCGTAGCTTCTACCTGTGAAGGTGTTTCTCCAGTTGGATCCGCACAGCGATGGTCAAGTGCTGAAAGAAAAAAAAATCTCGATTCAACAGCCCTTTTGTGTTCAAATGTATAATCAATATATGGGAGGAGTAGATCGTCTAGATCAAAACATAGGCTGCTACCGCATTAGCATAAAAAAAAATGGTATTGGCAACTTCTGATGTGGCCCTTGAACGCTTCAATGAATAACGCTTTTCAGTTGTACAGGCTCTCACCAGCTGGGCAAGAGAAGGAGCATCTTGGTTTCCTAGCCTTTATCAGGTCTGTGGTTACAACTTATCTACGAAAATATGCGTCGGCTCGCTCTTTAGGCCGTCCTATGAAGCAATCTAGGAAAAGGAGAGTGCCAGACGATATACGTCTAGATGGGAATCAGGCGAAGAAACAGATGCGACTGGCGGCTCCGAGGTGGAGCGTAAGGCCAGATTCGTAAAGGCGGTGGAGGCCGCGATCAAGGTCGTGGCCAACAAGCAAAAGTCCTCCTCGAAATTCAAGGCCATTCCAGCGGCCTCCGCCTCCATCATGGCGGCTGCGGAGGCCAACTTTGCTGGGGCTGGGCCTAATGCAGACGAGGTGGCGAAGCTGCGGGCGGACGTGGCCCGCCTGACGTCCGCCATGGAGACTCTCCAGAAGGAGAATGAGAAGCTCCGCGCAGACCTGGCCAGTCTACATGAGCCTGCCTCTCGCGCGGCGCCCCAGACGCAGCGCCCAAGCCAGCCCGTGCCGGTGGAGAACCAGGTTCTGAACCTGGTCCGGCAGGAGCTGGCTGCCTTCCAGCACCGGTTCTCCGTGCTGGAGGGCATCGTCCTGCGCCCCCCCCCCCCCCTAGGGGCAAACAAGACGGCGGCGAGGCCGGCAACGGCCTCTTACGCGACGGCCACGGCTGCCGCATCCAGGCCGGGGCCGTCCAGCCAGCCCTCGGGTTGTAATGTCGGAATATCACACTAAATTGAGTAACGCTTTGTTAAATAGCTTACAGATGCTACCAATGTGTCAAGAGATAGTTACTTGTTTGAAGGATGCCAAAACACCTGGACAAGTGGCTGGGATACTAAAGGAGTTAGGAGATATTCTATTAATGACAACTGCTAGATCCACACAAAAATTATACTTCCCCTTGTTGTTATTGAGATACATGTGGCAGATTAAATCGGATGGCTTCAAATGGAGTTTTTCAGGCACTGCAATGATACAATTTTATTCAGTCTTGGCTCAGCAATCAATTACATTCAAGATAAGGTCAGGAGCGGATCCCCTTAAAACATCTGAGGTTGTTTTTCATGCAATGTTTGGCACTTATCTGGAAGACTTGAGTGTACTTTCCCAAATAACATCTGCGCCTAAATGGCATCAAAGAAAAGATTTGAATTCAGTTTTTCATAAGAGAGCTTCACAACCTGGAGTAATTTTCAAGGGAATTTATTTTAAATATGTGTCAAAAAAGGGCACTACAGGGTGGGGCTGCAGTTGCCCCTCCCCCCCCCCTGAAAAGCCGGCTCCGGCAAAACCGATACCGGCTGAACCGGCTCCGGCTAAGCCGGCGACGGGAAAGAGAGGCAAGGCGAAGGCGAAAAAGGGCAAGGCGGCAGCACAGGTGATGGCTGCGCCAGCCCCAGTGCCTGCGGCGAATGGGCCAGCGCCAGCGGCAAGCCAGCTGCCGCCGCCGTCACCGCCCCCCCAGCTCCCTACACCTCCCGCGGCAGAAGCCGGTTGGCAGGTGGTCGGGGACAAACAGAAGGGGAAGAAGGCAGCCAAAAAGGCCAAAGAGCAGGAGCGGCAGCGCCAGTTCAGGGCGCGCAAGATCGCAGCTAGGCTCCGCGCCCCGAAGACCGCAGCTGTAGTGATTACACTACAGCCGGACGCGGAAAAGAAGGGCGTTACGTTAAGATAATGGAGAAACATTATTAAATGTTAGTGTTCTTTTCGTTAAAACGATCAAAATAATAAAGAATATGACTTGTAAAACATTACCAATGTTTTGCGAGATCTCCTATCTTCTTCACAAGCAAGTGCAAGAGAAAAATTGAGAATATTT